TGCTGCTACTCCCGCCTTTCCCACTAGGTTCTCTTGGTCTGCTTTGCCTCCTTGGGTTTCCCAGTAGCACTTAATACGACCTAATGTGCTCTCCATTTTATGTCTCTTGTTTATTATCTGTCTGTCCTCCTCCCTAAACTGTCCGCTGTTTACATGGCTAGGGATTTTTGTCTGCTCATTACTGTATCCCCAGTGCCGTTTGTTGAGTGAATGAACGAGTGAATGGATGAATGAATGAATGAGTTCCCACCCACCACTCATAGGCGAACCTGTTCTGGTATTTGGCGCTCTCTTTTTGCGAATCCAGAGTACTCGGATTTTTGGAGCTCAAATCCCTCCCGCACTGGTCCTGCCGTGGACACGTGTCCATCTGAGAATGCTAGTGTCTAAACAGATTCCACTCCTTTTCACTGGGCTTTAATATTTCCTGACCTTCATGGTTCATCTGAATAATAGGTTTCAAATGTTTCCTTTCAAATATGTTATATACTTGATGTATTTTTAGATTGTGTCTTTTGAAGGCAACAACCAGGCAAGCCTCTTCTAATATTCTAGGTGTGGTCGTGCTTTTGCACAAGGATAAAGGAGAATATGTTGGGTCTGGAATCGTTCCTGTGCCAATGCCCAGAACCCTGTGGGATTCTGATGGTGGTGGCAGGTTGGGACGAGGTCCTTCCAGGACAAGTTGCGGTGACTGGGACAACCAGAGAGCTTTCCCAGGTAGAAAAAGACGGCCAAGGGCTACCTTCTCCTAAATCTGGCTGAGATTTCTCAGTGAGGACCTTGACAAATAACAAGCTGGAAATGGAGCAGGGAAAGTAACCATAAGGATAGAGACATCAGAGGGCTCTGGGCAGGGATCAGAGCCAGAGGCTCTGAGAAGCTTGAAGCTCAGGAGAGCCTGGAGTGTAAGCGAAGATTCGCGGATGGGCTGTAGACCAAACATGAACTTGTCAACTCAGCTCAGTATCACCAGATCTAGTGAGCATGCTCTAAAGCCCTAAAAGACAATTGGGTGACTTTAGGATAAAAGCTGGAAGTTCTCCTTGATACGCTAGTTGGGGAATTTGGGCCCCTTGATCTCCTGAAAGCTATGGGTTGACAATATTAATATCTTCTATAAGAGTTGAAATAAACCCATGGCTGACAGCTCGCTGGAGGCTGCCGAGATAGTTGAGCAGTGGGAGTGAGCCTCCTACCCACTGCAGGCATGTTTCCCAACACCAAGCTGCTGCTTTTTCGGTCAATGGGATCTGAGGACTAGCAAGAAAGGCTGAGATCAGCAGGGAAGAGGACAAATGTGTTCTGAAGAGGTCTCTTCCTCCCAGCTCGGGAAGCTTGGCAATGTGTTGCTTTCCTTGGATGGCTGACCCATGATATGACACCTCTAAGTCATGCCAGGATCTTAGGGGTCATTGTGTCCTCTCTCATTTTATAGGTGTGCTTCTCAGCGGCTGCCCAGAGAAGGTAGTTACTTTCCTAGGGTTGTAGCAGAGCTGGGTCTAGAACCCAGTCTCTGCCTCCCAGCCCAGGGACGCCAGGCCACAGCTGGGATAGCTCCACAGTTCTGCGCCTGGCCCCCCACGGGAAGTGGGTGGGGCAGTGGGAGGGAGGTGTTTGCCCATTCATAACACGGCCCAAAGTGCAAGGCCCATTGTTTGAAACCCAAGGACCTGATGCTCCAAGCTGAAAGACTTTCCCTAGATGCCACAGGTAGGACAGGTGGTCTACCTTCTTGCTCCAAGCCGCATCAAACAGGAGCCTGGTCCTTTTCCCAGGAACTTCCAGCCAAGTCTGCATTCGGGGTGAGGGCGGGGGAAATGGGCCGTTGCTGTCTCCCATAGCACCCCCTTTTTTGTGACCTTCACACATCATTGTTTAATAAGCTGTTTCGTCCTGGTAGCTCTGGGTCCCACAAGAATCCCAGTCTGGACCCCTCTCCTCTCTTCCTCCTTTTTCCTGTTCTCATCTGTACTGGCCTGACTCAGGGTCCGAGATACCAACTTCCTGCTTACCTCCCCAGCTCCCTATCACACAGTACAATACTGTCCTTCTTTGCCTTCTGCCTCCCTTCCCCAATTCCAGTGGGGTACATAGTCTTTGATCAGGTGGTTTCTTGCACCTGGAGTGATCTTTTCACATCCCTTCTACTTGGAACTCTTGACTCAAATGCCACCTCCTTCATGAAGCCTTCTGTGAGCCTTTGTTATGGATTAACAGCTCTACTGGGCTCCCACTACGTAGTGTCCCCCCCCCCCCACACCAATGAGCACTTCAAGCCCATTTAGAACCTCTGAATGTGACCTCATTTGGAAATAGGGTTTTGGAGTTGTAATTAGTTAAGCCTCATTACTGGTTGAGGCTTCATTACCCATTGACTGGTATCCTTATAAGGAGAGGACAGGACATAGAGTTGGACAGAGACAGAGGTTAAGGCCCCATGAGGAGGCAGAGACTGGAGAGGTTCCACCACAAGCCAAGGAACACCAGGAGCCACAGAGCTGGAAGAAGCAAGGAAGGAGTCTCCCATCGAGTCCTTATAGGGAGCAGGGCCCTGAGAACACCTGGATTTCAGACTTCTGGCTTCTGTAACTCAGAGAGAGCAAATTCCTGTTCTAAGTCATCAAGTTAGTGGTAATTTGTTACACGGCCAGAAGAAACAAATACATACTGTAATTTGTTGACTCTGAGCACCCAGCCATGTCTCTGGGTCTTTATTCGTCTTTGTTGTACCCACTCACCCCCCCACCCCCTTCACGCCTAGAGCTGTGCCAAACACCTGACAGACACCTCAAGCAGGTTCGGTGAACCAGCCGGTCATCGTGGCATCGATGGACCTGGGCCTGCCCCAGCGTCAGGAATGGGAAGGAGGTGGGACTTGCTGAATGGATGGGGCAGGAGAATAGGATTCACAAATCTACATAAAGGGCTAGTTCCTGGCTAGCTGCTTTAGGAACAAGGCTCTCGACCCACATATCGTAAACTCAGTAACAGCCAAGCAGATGCAACTCTCAGCCAGCTCTCATACTGCCTCCCGGAAATGAAGGGGTCCCTGAGTCCCGGCTGCACCCTTCCTTCATGTTTGGACTCGGCCCTCATCTGTTGCCCCTGCTTCCACGGGCCTGCAATTGCAGCCCAGGACTTTAGTTTAGCCACTTGCCTCATACTGGAGCAAAAGCTGTAAAAGCCACTTCGAATACCATAGTCCACTTCTCCTCCTCCCAGGGGCCCCTGCTAAAACCCGGTCAAAGTCAAAGGCTTTGGAGGCTGTGCTAGCTGACTAGCTAGCCAGGAGCCTTGAGGGGAAGAGGGATGGGCCCAAGCTCTGTGAAAGCTTTTGTGGGAGGAATTCCAGGGGAGCACAGAAAATTAAAAAAAAAAAAAAAAAAGAGTGTAGTGGGAATAACCCAGCAGCAACCTTCCCCTTGGAGACCCTAACCATGGCTGGCCCTGCCTCGGTTAACCTCCGTATGTTGTGGGTAAGGACAGATGTCTCCAGGTGAGGCACTTTCCAACTCCCGGAGCCTTTGTGTCCCTTTAAGAAAAACCCTCCTTTGGGTCACCTTTGCAGCCTAAGGCACACTCCCACCCACAAATATTGCCCAAGGTCATTATGGGAAACTGGGTTGTCACTCTTTCCCAAAGGTAAGCGGACTTCTCTTCTGGATACGCCATCTGTTGGCAGAGGCTCTGGTCTTCCTTCCTTCTTTCCCTTTTGGGGGCCTTCACCCTCCAGATCCAATCCCACCCAAATCCAGGTTGGAAGGGCTCTCAGATGCGGCCTCCAACTCCCCACTCCACAACGAAGGGCCCTCTGTCCCCAAGCCCAATGGGCCCCCAAACACTCCTGGCTTGGGATTGTCCCAGGGCCCCAGACGGACTCAGGCAGATTCCAAATTCCCCACCATGGCAGCAAGTGGAGGGCTCATAAAAGTAGCTTTAGTAATTGGTCAGACAGTTACGAGTTATAGGGAGCACTCTGGTTCATCCTGAGGGCTGATGACTAAACCCAGCATGAATGGCACTGGAAGTTTCACAGGCCCCCATGGATCCCATTTCTGGTGACCCGATATCAATTTAAGACATATTTCTCATTGGTCCTGAGTTTATTCCCTGGAAGAGAATGTCCATTCCAAGTCAGGTGGGACACAGCTCCCAGTGCATGAAATTGCAGGGTGCCACTCGGCACTATTTCACTAACCGCCACCCCCCACCCCGCCCCCCAGCCCTCGCCGCCGCCAATGCCATATACTTCTTTAATTTAGGATTGTTTATAGTCAGTCAAGTTTTTCCAGATTGACTAAAAGAGTTCTTCGTAAACCTACTGCAGCCAAGTTACAAAAGCAGTAAAAGAGACCAGGACTTGGGCCAGCTGGAAGAGTCGGAAGAAAGTTTCTGCGGGATGCAGACAGCTAAGGAATGACAATCACACGCGACTGTCCCAAACCTCACATACCCCTACAAGGACACCTCCTGATCCCCCTCCACAAAGGGTTTTGGGAACCCTCCAATGGGGCATCACTCCAAGGAAATGAAACTGCTGAGAACAACTCTTACTTCTCCTTTTTCAGTGTGTCCAAGGGTTAAAAACACTTCCGAACTACCCTTCCAACTGCAAGGTCAAGCAGCTGTCCAAACCACCCAAGGAGAAGCAGGACCCAGGGACAAGCAGACTCCAGCTAGCAAGGCCACCAGGGTCCTCCCCTCCCCCACACTGGCCCGGCAGGGGAAGAGTTAATCTGCCATCGGCTTTGGTTGATAGTTCAGGCTCCAAAGTTCAGTCCCAGTCTGAGCCACCCCGGAGGAATTGTAAATCTCAGGGCAGTATTTAACAAAACAAAAGCAACCTGGAATTACAGGCAGGTTTGCTATCCTACAGTACGTATTTACTTAATCCCCTAGGTATGTGGCTCCATGTCAGATCAGCTGGCTTTGCTGGCCCTTTCACCCCCCCACCCCCCAACAAGTTTCAAACTAATTCCCTGTTTTTGCTCTTCCTCCTCACAGGGCCAGCCTGCCAGCCTCCAATCTTTCTCTCCTTTGCTCTAGTCACCGGGTGAGTCAGCCTGGCTTGGGTCAGAGTTGGGTGACAGCCGGCTCACCCTTCCCACTCTCAGGCACCAGGTCTGGGAAAACCAGAGGAAGAGATGCTGTAACCACCAAAAAGCTATAGGCAGCCCTGGGGAAGGAGGGCCCTCCCCACAGTGCCACCTCCTCATTTAATGGGGAGGGATCCCCTCTGGGGCTGTATCTGGGGGGAGGGGGCAGGGTTGAAGGTGAGAACAAGGACTCTTTATCAGCTGCTGGTTACCCCTGTCACCCTCTTTCTAGATTTCCAAACACCTGGGCGTGGGAGAGCTTGTCCCGTGGGCTAGACATCCAAGACCGCTCCCCCCTCTCAAACCCAAACCGAGTATCCCCTCTCTTCGTGCCTCCAGAACTGCAGCCGCCCAGGTTGGGGCTGGGAAGCGGGTTGCCAAGGAAAATACGAAGCCAGCTAGCAGGCGGCTCCCAGCTCTACCCAGGAGCGCACACACCCTGCACTCACCAGGGTGGTGGCAATGGGGGAAAGGCAAAGGGGGAAAAACACAACACCTTCCTTTGGGAGGGAGGAATGTGGGAAATGGGTGGGTCCCCTCGGTTTCGGGGTGGGGGTGAACGGCCAGACAGCCACCGACCCCAAAGGACCAGACCAGCTCCGGACCTGCCAAAAAAGACAGCTTGGTGCCCGGGAAATTTACAAGGTGAAACTGACTAGCTCAGCACTCGCGGGTGGCGCCGAGAAGTAGGATGGCCGGCGACTCTCCCGGGCGCGGGTTCCGGCTGCGGCAGCAGGTGGGCGTCCCCCTTACCTTCAGCCCCCACCCCCTGGAGTCGCAGTGCCCGGTACCTTTCTGGCGCCGCGTTCTGCGAACTCGCGAGCGAGCTGGCGCCCGATGCCTCTCCCGCCTCCCGTGATGAGGACGTTCTCCCGCGACAGGTCCCGCAGCTTGGCGGGCAGCACCAGTCCGACGGCTGCTTTGGCCACCAGATAGATCATCTGCAGAGGGAACACCACCAACGCGCCCAGCCGTTTCCACACCATCCTCCGCGCCGCGGAGCCGGGCAGGGGGGCGAAACTCCCCGGACCGAGCAAAACAGGAATTAAAAAAGAAAACACCCCAAACAATAATAAATAAACCGAATTAAGGGGGGAGGCGTCCCACCTGGCCACTCTTGAAATCACCTCTTCCCAAATGCAAAACACCGGGTGAGGAAAAAAAAAAAAAGATAAATCCTCCTCGGGAGGAGAAAAAGCGTCTGAGAAGGTTGGGACAGTAAGAGGGCTGGAGGGGAAGCCGGAGGTGGAAAGTTCTAACAAGAAGTTTCTTGCCCCAGCAGCCGTTTCGGCTGGGGAATTCTCAGGTAATGTTTACAGGCTGACAGAGGAGTTTAGGCAGGGGGAAAAAAAAGGCACCAACCACACGCGCGCACCCTGCTACAGTCCCGCGGTTTCAAAGTGCAAGATTAAAAAAAAAAATGCCGTTTCCAAATTGTAGCGCCCCCCCACCCCTTCTCCAGGAAAAAAAAAAAAAGTGGTGGGGGGAGAGTGCTTGGAGCTCCCAATTTCAGCCCGCGAAAGTCTCCCGACTCATTGCTATTCTTGGGCTCAGGAAATTGCTTAAACGCGATCTGATTGCCAGCAACGTGCAGGAGAAGTGGGGGGTCCGGGTGTCAGTTTCTTTACGTGCATGGCTCGCCCTCGCGCGCGCTCGCTCTCTCCGGCTCTCGCCCTCCCTCTCCCAGCAGAGGCCGGGAGTTGCCGCTCGATCCGGCTCCCTTTCTCTCCCTTGTTAGCATTTATTGCCTTCTTTTTGTCCTTTCCAACTTGGAGAGGGCCCGGGTGCGGAGCGCGTGTGGATCGGACGCCCTCGTCAGCGCCGCCTTATTCATTCGCTCCCGGGGCAGCAGCGGCGCGGAGCGAGAGGGCTGCCCTTTCCTCCCCCCTCCCCATTTTTTTTAATACCCCATTAAGTCTGATTGACAGTTAAAGTTGTTCCGAGGCTTCACTACCGTTCCTCTGAGTGGCTGCCGCGGCCTCCCCTCCCCCTGCGCAGTGCGGGGCGCGCGCGCGGGCGCGCACACGGGCTCGCTCCGACTCGCGCTCTCCCCGGCTGGCTCCCCTCTCTGCAAGCCGGGACTTGCCCGCGGTGTCCCTGAGGGCTCGCAGCAGTAACTCGAACACGCTGGAACCGACTCCTGCGAACCGGCTCCCTCCCCGAGACAGTCCTCCTGGCCCGGGCCACGGTCTCCCCGAGCTGGGGCGCCCGCCGGCCAGGTGCCGGGTCCTGCGCGCGGGGCAGGCCCGGGGGAGCTCGCGCACGCTTTGATCCAACCAGGTCGACCCGGGGTTATTTCAGGCTATTTGGTCACCCCCTGCCTCCAGGTAGGACCAGGAAACCACTCCCGCCCTTTGCCCAGACGCCTTCTGTCTTCACTTAAGAGTGCACTTTCTTAGTCTGCCCGGGTCCTTCTTGTTGCTGGGGTGGGGGTGGGGGGCAGCTGGGAAGCAGGATTTTGCTTTGAGAGGAGGGGGTGAGCTGGGTGAAGGAAGCTCTGCCCCCAAGGTGCCAATAAAATCCCCATAAGATTAGCTGGGAGCATATTTATTGCTCATCTGGGGTAGAATTACCTTGACTGACAGCAATTTCTTTAATAACAAAAGCCTGTAAACAAGATGCCCTGGGCGGGATCCCCCTCCTTCCTGCAGGCAGCGACTTCTGTCTTTGGGTCTCCTTGGGCTGCCCTAGCCTGCATCCACCTTCTCACCTCCTGCCCTCTCCCTGGGGAGAGTGTCTCCTGTGCTTCAGGGTGGGACCCTGCTATTTAGAGATGTCTGTTGCAGGAAGTATGGGAAGTGAGTCACACAAAAGCAGCCCCAGTTAGAAGTGCTGATGGGACTTGCCTCCCACTGACCCTGACTGTCCCAGGCCAGGAGGTGAGAGGATGAGCCAGGGATCTACTCTGTAATCTGGGGCAGGAGCTCTCCAGCCAGGCTTGTTGGGGCGAGGAAGCCGGGCCTCACCCCGGGACGTTCTGATTCAGCAGGGCTGGGTGCACTGGAATCAGGTTGTTCAGTGCTCCACCTGGGAGTTCTGCTGAGGATCCCGGTGAGAGAGTAGCTTTCAGAAAAGCTGATTTGGGGAGGGGGGGAGGCGGGCAGTGGCTGGGGATGACCTTCCCGCCAAAAGCTCTCTAGTTAGGGGAAGAAGTTCTGCAGGTAAGGATCTTCCTTCCAGGTGAATTGGGAAACTCATCATCTGGAGAGCCACTGCAAGAGTGGGGTTGGAAGAGAGCTTCTACACGGAGGGTTTATATTCTGACATTTAATCCTCCCATTGACCTTGCAATCCGGTTGTAGTATCTCCATTTTCCTGGTTACCCAGCCAGAAACTACAGGAAGGAGGGATTCGAATACGGACCTGATTTCTCCCCCAACACCACCCCACTCAGGCGCGAGGGGAGGAGAGAGTGGGGATGAGACTCCCTCCCGTCTCCATGCAACCCTTTCAAAGTGTGACCCAAGGGTAGGCCTTGTCTTCATCTGACTCCCAGGCCATGGCGAAAGGCAGGACTCCGTCAGAGTGCCTGCACCCTCCCACCTTGGAGGTCTCTAAAAATGGAAAAGAAATCCCAACCCGAGAGAGACAGGCCGTTTCTACCCAGTCACGCCTGGTGTCAGCGGGCCTGCTAATGAGACGCTGGGGAAATCTGGAGCTGGAAGCCAGCACTCAGCCTGTTGTCATCTGTCATCTGTTATCCTCGGGGCCGCCTAGTGGCCTACCTGCGACATTGCGCCTCCGAGCTGCCCCAGCGGTGGCCTCCCCTGTTCCAGCTCACTCACCAGCTCTCCTTTTGCTTCCAGACTTTTCTCCTACATCAGGGCAACACTCCAAGCCTAAAAGGGCCTGTGAAGATCATAGCCCCACCTCCGCATGTGCCTGCTGCTTGACTGAGGAGAAAACCAGCACAGAGACGTTAAGCCGCTCATAAACACCATGGAATGTTCACCCGTGCCCCCTGGTCCCCAATCTACCTGCCCCATTCTGACGCCAGACTGGCTGGGGGACCACTGGGTCCTGCTTATGTTTCCCCTGCATGTGTCTTTAGGATGGAGGGCGGGCAGGAGGCAGACAGGAGGTTGAGGACCCACATTAACCTCCAGGGTATCGGGCCCTTTACACATATTCTGATTTCAGAAATGAGACTGCCTGCAGAGATGGGTGCCATCCCAGCCGTTTAATGCAGAAGGAAACAGGCATAGCATATCCAGGTGACTCACGGAAGGCCACAAGGGAGGGGCCCCTTCCCTCTCCCAGCCATCAGCTTTGGGGGGAAAGCAGGATAAAAAGGAACCAGTCAGGCAGTCCTAAAAGGGGGTGGGGATTGGCTTCTGGCTGAGCAGCAGACCCCTTTTCCTACTTGTCCTACCTTCAGGATGTGGGTTTTGTGGGCCTGCCATCTCTCTGGGCCTCAGGCTTCTTCCATTATCAGCTGCCCAGAGGGGTGCTGTCTGTCACCTCCTCTGTGCCCCCCCCAACCTGGTCCCCAGGAAGATGAGGTTGAGGGGGCACTGGGCTGGGGGGTGTCCAGAGGGTCCCTGTGGCTTGGCTTTAGTGAGAACTGCACGAGACAGGATTCCCGCC